AGCTTGTATGTAATTATAAGTTCTGCAGTATTAATAAAAATAGAAGATAATAGGGACAGGTGCACTAACACCTCATAGCATCAGTAACTCCACAACCCTACCTAGTACAGTTTTCCTCAGTGTTTGCAATATTTGTAATATCTGCACAAAGGAGACGTCGATCAGCTGCTAAAAGATCTCGCCTTTGGAGAAGACTATTAATTTTACACTCGAAAAATGTAAGTATTACTACTTAAAAATTAAGATTACCCCAGAATGCATTGCTGGGCCACCCCAACACTTATGAACAATAATAATGATAAATGCTGACCAATAATTATATATATATAGTAAAACAAGCAAAATGTAATTTTTGTCATATGCCATAGCTATGCATGACTACACACTAGACAAACACAGCCAAGGTGAATACATCTCAGTTTTCAGTCAAGTAATGAATTAATGCAACAATTATATTTTATTTACAGACAACCGGAAACATGAATAAATGAGTAAAAGAATAAATAAAAGTAACCATGACAATAAATAAATATCATTGTCACATGAAAAGTCATCGACACATGAAACAAAGCTTTATTCAAACATATTGTTCTAACAAACATGCATTTACAGACGGTGAACCCACATCTACTGCATCTCAACACAGCTGAGACAGTTCTGCATGCATATTCTGATGAAGCAGCTGACCACTGTGTCCACCTTCAGCTGTCTCTGCCGTCCATCACGACCCTCACTGCTGCAGTCAGACTGAATCTGATCATGGATGAGAAAGAGACATTGAGGCTATCGTTGCCTGAGAGCACAGAGAGGATGAGGCCCCCAGTACCACACAATCTTGAAGCAAGAGCAGGTGAACACATGCGAGACAATCTGCCTGCTGCTGTGTCTGCTCCAAACATTCGTGTGCCTGCTCTCCATGAGCACGACTACATTTACACAGAGTAAAACATTTTACAATTACTGTTGTTGTTGTGTACTGTTTCTAGCATTTGTAAAACTGCATTTTTCCATCTCAAAAATATATCTAAATTACGACCTAT